CCGTGTCCATGTCCGTGCCTCATAGATGCTCATGTGTTGTGATAATCAAGCTGTCATTTTCATTGACAACAATCTTATGCTCCATCAGCATACGAAACATATCAATGTTGATTATCACTTTATTTGCAATTTGTAACTGCGAAAACAATTGGTAACTCCTATGTTCGCTCTGGCGGCCAATTGGGTGACATTCTCACCAAGCCTTTAGCTCATCCATCTTTTTAGCGGTTATCTATCAAGTTGAGCATGTTCAATCTCTATGCTCCAGCTTGAGGGACATTAGAATTGTTTGGGGTGTTCTTTTATATGATTCTATATTGAGGCTATTATTGTCATATTGACATTAGTGTTTTAACGTAAGTATGTACTAGGTGAGGGTTTTCATTATAACCCAATAACCTATTCATCATATTCTCCTCTTCTCTTCTCTCTTTCCTTTCTAACCCTAACCCTAGTTTCTTGTACTTTGCAAACTAGGGTTAGGGTTAAAGAGAAAAGAGAGACGAGAAGAAGAGAAACCAGAAGACGATGAATAGGTTATTAGGTCATAATGAAAAACCCTTACCTAGCACATATTTATATAAGAACACTAATGTTACTATGACAAGAATACCCTCAATGTAAAATAACATAAACGAACACTCTTGACAATTCTAATAGTGCCTTTATGTTTAACCACAACAACTGATTTAATAGGCAAATTAATTTTAGAAGAGAAGCAATCCTAAGCATCATGTCCAAACCCTTGACAACTAAACCACTTGGGCTTAGTATTACCTCCACACGAAGAATGAGAAGAAGGCATAGTAGGGTAATCCATCTGAAGAGCTACTAGTACTGCATTTTCCATAAGGTCAAGTCTACTAGTAGCTTATTGTCACAGGGCTAATTTTACGACTATAAAATTTTCCTGCAATGGCACTAAGTCCCAACACTTGGTCTCAGCCAATGTATGCAATTCACACACACAAATTAAATTTCATCAAGCATACAAGCTAAGCAACACAGCAATTACAGGAAAACCCAACCTTTATTATTGCACCAACAATTACAAAGGAAAGCCAAATGTCCAACTCTCAAACACTTGATGAATTCGAGTTTGCATGGCCATGCCTATACATAGGCTACAATCAGAACATTTGAAATTCAAACAGGATACAAAACATAAGGGACACATGCTACCTGGCATGGTAGTTGACACCCCCAACTGCCAAGGGGATAACAAAGATTTGATACAAGCCTACAGAAATAACTGTCACCAACTATTCCTTTATTCCAACCTTCCTTGTTCCTTGCCAGCATGTCTAGTTCTGTGCATAACGTCCACAACTACCCCTATATTTTAGGAAGCCTTTGTCTTGCCTTAGACAACTCAAGATAGCGCTTGGTAGAGTTTTCTAAATATGATTTGAGAATAGGAGTAATATTTTGAGTTTGTGAGTTTTGGAATTATGATTTGAGTGTGAAAAATTTGTTTAGTGAATGAGTTTTGAAAAGAGTTTTGAATTGAGTAGGAAATTTTTGATGTGACATGATATTTGATACAAAAACTTACAACTCATAACCAAACATACAACTCAAAATTTTATTCAAAACTCATAAAAAAATTTTAAAAATTCCGAATTTTTTTTAATTTAAAACATAAAAAATAACAAGGGACAATTGTAAAAATAAAAAAATTGCACTGTTCCGGTCAACCGGCAAGATGTCCAGGAGGACGACTGGCTGGATGTCCGGAAGGATGACCGGTTAGCCCAAATTTTCCAACCTTGGACAGAGTTTTCAAAAGTGAGTGTAGAGTTTTCAAAAGTGAGTGTAGAATTAATTTTTGAAAATTGTAAACAAACATCACGTGCAAACCGAAGGGTGAAACTAAAGTTCCAAAGCTCTACCAAACAGAGCCCAAATTTCTCAAGCCACTAGCCAAACAGAGCCTGTAGTGCCATCTGTTGGTCTTGGTCAAGCCTAACCGCCTTGCAAACCAGCCAAGTTGTGCACCACACCTTGCTGTCTAGCCAAGTCAAGCCATTTGATTGTGTTAAAACCCCAAGTATGCTACAACGTAGCATTAAGGTCATATTAATGCCTTGTACATGCCATGTTGCCGATACTTTGGCCAAGGGTTGAATGTTGTTGCCGAACGACACAACTGATTGCCACCTTCTTGTTTTGGCATGCCTCCCTCATGCCCGCTGTCTAGGCCTGACATAGGTGCAAGGTGCCACCAAGTGTCAGGCCGCCAGCTCCCAAATATCAAGGTGCTAACACTTATGCACTAGAAATTGGCAAATTTAATACCTGGTGATGCATAGAAATTACTGCATCCTCATTCCAAAGTAACTCATATTTGGTGGCCAAATTATAGAAAAACATTGTGAACTCTTCCACAGACTAACTTCCCTTTACTGATTGAGTAAACTGCAAGTGAGCTCACTATTTGTGGCTCGTTGGAATGAAGCAACGGTTCAAAGTAATCTCCCATGTCAAGATAGTGGCATGATGCTCCTCCTAATATTTAGTCCACCAAATTCTAGTTGTGCCTTCAATTTAACTTCAATAATAAGTGTTTCCTCTTATTGTCAATTGGTACCACCAACAAATGAAACTATCCATACTATGTACCCAATCAAATAATACCTTTTGGTCGTAACCTCCACTCAAATCAGGAACTTCATGCTTAGCACCCCTATCTACATTAGTCAATTGAGGATACCCTCTAATAGTCATTGGTGGCCATACCCAAAAGTGTGAGGCGGAGGAGCATCCAAAGATCCACTAATTAATTGTAGCTTTTTCTTTCTATTTGTCTACCAAAACAGCGGTTTCCCAAAAAGTATCTTGCACTTGAAAAATGTTTGTCATCTATTCTTGTGTTGTCTTCAATTGTTGTTGTGATTTCTTCAACTCCTGCTGGTCTTGATATATGACATCAAAATTTGAATTTAACTCTAACATTGATCAACATGGTTAATGGGAAAAGCTCAGACTGTTCACAGGCTGACAAACGATTCATAGGTGAGCGGGTCAGGTACTGCTCATGGGTCAAACACTATTCATGACCATGGAATTAGTTGGATTAAGTTTGGAGTCTTGGGTTATTGGTTGGATGCTAGATGCCAGGGCATAAGTAAACTAGGCTAGAGGTTAAGGGAGGTGAGTTTGGGCCAAGTCCAGTTGAAAAACTTATTCCACACTTCTCCTTAAAACCCAAGTATTAAGGAGAGGGAAACTAGAGTCTTATAACTAGTATAGATAGGGCAATTCCAGGCGACATGGGATACATTCCAACACACCCTCCTGGACCACGACATACAGTAGCCAGACAAACGGCATACCAATCACAGGCCCAACCAAGCTCTGATACTAAGTTGAAAAGCTCAACTCACACTTCTCCTTAAAACCCAGGTATTAAGGAGAGGGAAACTAGAGCCTTATAACTAGTACAGATGGAGCAATTCTAGGCGATGTAGAACATATTCCAACAAGTACATGGACTGATATAGCTTGGTTGGGATGGCCGGAATGGTTTAGGTTAAGTGAGATGAATATGGGCCATCCAATACAAGTCAGGTTGTTGATCCAATCTAAACACACTAGTAAGCATCATCTTCTACAATGTGAGGCACTGTGCAAACATACTAGTGGCAACATGAAGGTCCTGGGCCAAATGAGCAATGTAGCAAAGCAGGGATGATGTGAGGGTCGCAGCAAGGAAGGGTGTCATTCCTCTTCTCCAGCAGCGACCTACTTCGTTGAAGGTGTTGCGATAGCAATCAGAGAGGACTAGGTTCATGACGGTGACGAAGTGGTTGGAGTTGTGATGGAGACGGAAATAGTTCCCGATGTACAAGAATTCATTGTCTTACTTCGCAAAGGACTCTGGTTAAGGTTCAACGGCTCCGACAGGTAGACACCAATGTATTGCAATATAAAAGAAAAGGAAGCGAAAAACAAAGAGGGATCGAGGTATGCTCTGATACCAAATTGGTGTAGAACATAGTAGAAAAGAGAGAAGAAACACTTGAGAAGCCACAACTTTAAACAATCACGATATTATTACCCCCAGCACAATGAAAATGCTATTATTTATGGGCTAATAATTCTGAGTTGTTAACCACCAACTCGTCTAAAAGCTTAAGTTATTAGAGAGAGTGGTAACTTTATTATTTATATTCTCAACACACATTCCCTCACCTGTGGCCAGACTCTCCTCCATAAGTGAGCCAAGCATGGGCAAGTATTTTAATTACCAGGTAGGCAGTGAAGTTCAAACACAGGATCTATTACCTTCTCTGACACCATGTAAGATTTTGAGAATAACATTTCTGTATTCATCTCTATTGAGGCATAAATAGTGATTACAACGATATAGAATCTACAGATATTATGCCTATACACAAACCCAAACCTATGCTTAAATATATGATATAGAATAGAATATTTTCAAATATGCAAAGGTCAAAGAAGGTCAGATCAAGGAGGCTATCTAACATAAGCCTAATCAAAATAGAAAACTAAAACCCTAAAAATATTAGGAACATAATCAAAATAATCTAACTAATAATTATTTCAATCTCCTAACTAAAATATAAGTAATAATAATCTACCAATTACATTTATTGGACAAAAAAGTATTCGGTTCATGCAATGAACCCACATGCTTCACCCTAGGCTTCCAAAGCAAATAATGCACCTCCAACCGGTTAAGGATTGTGCCATCATCTAGTCACACAGGTGACTGCTATACATTAAAACCAAAAACATGTCGTGTAAACATTACTTGAAGACTCGTTTAGTGATAAAATGAAGCTATTGTCCACTATTTATATCACACACAAATGAGTGTGTTGATTATGTTCTGAGTCAGATTCTAGTGTTCTGCTACAATGTGCTTACCTTTGAAGCAGTTTGCAATAACATAAAGAACTTCCTAAACAAGTAATAGTAGATGGAAAAAGTGCACAAATATGAACAGAGAGACTTCCACTTATTGAAAGCTCAAAACATTTAAGTCACATAGTTCATCGGTATACCTTCATAAATTTGGATCCTCCAAAAAACTCTTCTTGTTTAAGACGCGACGTCCTTACATAACGGGAGACATATGTTGCTTTTCCGTCCTTGATGCGCAAACCATGAATCATGCTGCAGAATTAAAGAAACCACTCAAATTGTTGAATGCCTCTAAAAGCAGCAAATATAATGTGTTCAGGCATGGAAAGCACCTCAGAGAGGGAAGAAAAACATAAAACAGAGGTTGATTGTTACTACTCAGAGAACTGAGTGATTAAGTAAGCAATACAAGGGACCTAACTCTGTCCAAATAGCTTAACATCATAGAAGTTAAGGACTTTATGCTGGACATGCAAGAAGATACTTACATATTTGTATCAGCAATTAACCATTTGTAGAAATAAAGGTAGATACATTGAAGTCATAAGATATTGTATAGAACAAGAAGATTATCAAGGGTAGTAGAAAAAAAGATATCAGAGTATACAAGCCAAATCTTCAAGTCCTGCCAGATATTTGCAACCAATCAAGTAACTGAAGCTTTACTATTGATCACTACAATTATGTCATGCAAAAACCAAATTTGCAGTTGCAATGCAGGTAGAGATATATAGGAGTTTAGATAACATCAGCACAACAATATATTTAAACTTCAAGTACGACAAATTTGTTCATCATGCGTTACAACGTGACTTGGTAATAACCTTTTATGCAAGAATGCACTTTCAGTTACAATACCAATAGAGATAATTATAGGCCTCAGGATTTGCCACCCATATTTCAGACCTATCAAAGAAGGCCCAAGTCCAGCCCAGCAGATTAGGCCCAGCATGTTATTAGGAGTTGTTCAGATTTGGATTAGATAGTTATCCCTTGTTTTATCATGCTATTTCAGATTGGGTTGTTATCTACTTAATTGTTATGCTACAGTCCTAGTTGAGTCGAAGTGTTATTAAGATAAGGATTGGAGATGCTTGTAATCTTATCTTTATTTGATTGAGATCAATGAAATAAACAAGCAGAATTATCCTAAGAGAATTTGGGAGGTGATGACCCTCTCGAACGAGTCTCAGTGTGATAGGCCTAACCTATGAGATAAGAAATAATTTAATTAATGAAAGTAAAAGGTTGATTTAATTTTAAACAATTGGAAGCTTTAGCTATCAAATATTTTATTTGACTTGGCAGTTAAATCTTCACTTTTATCAGAACAAAGTCTGGCTAGTTAGTTAAAAGTACTGAGTACTTCCACATATTTATATCATATAATCCACCACAAAGAAACACTGAAGCCATCATTGAATTCCTTCTTCTGAAAGAACTTCAAATGAACCACATATACTTTTAAGTTGTGAGCTAAGGAACAGAAAAACACGCACCCATCTCCATCAAACCTGCAGAGTCAGAAACGGAAGGAATAAGCACAACTCTCAATAACATTAATTCTAACCCACTACCAAAAACAAACACATACATAGGTAAGTAGTAAATGATAATGAAAGGATGTGTATCTTCAAATGGGATAATGGAGCAAGATAAGTCGGAAAATTTTGTAGCTTCCTTCATAAAGCATGACAATTGAGTACATCAAAATAGAGCAACCAATTCTTGTTGAACCAAGTTTGATGAAAAGAAGTAAGGATCTACCAGTGATATCCAGCCACAGGAGTGAACTTTGGATTAGGACCAACCCTGACAAACTCACCATTCAGGCACTCCTGCAATGAGATTTTTTAAATATCACACCGTTTGCATTACAAGTTTTTTTTCTTAACTGCCAAATAATAAATAAATAAATATTACCAACAAGTGTGAAGAAGATTCAAGTTGTTTACATTTTAAAGAGGTAGCAACAAATGAACTCAAACAAATGAACTCGAACAAACATAAAATCTCAGCAATAACTTTTTCTAAGCATTCAAAGTCAGTTTAGTCATTTAATAATTAAAGAACGAAGGGGAGAAGAAGAATAAGAAGGGGGGGAATCAGTCCAAAGAAGGATTAGAAAGAGGAGACCAGAAAATAAGCATAAGAAGATGGATTAAGAAGGAGGAGAAGGAGGTAGCAATGTGAAGAGAACAGGAGAAGAATGCAGCGACATCACAGCCATGTGAAGAAGAAGATAGCAACATAGAGAAGAGAAGTAGAGAAGACAACAACGTAGTGTAGAGAAGAAGAGAAGAGAATGAGAGAGAAACGTAAGAAGGAGGCAAAAATGTGAAGAATTCTTGGAGCTGCTGGACTAGATAACAACGCCAGGCAGCAGCAAAGTGTTCTTTGGAGATTAGGAATGAGGCTAATTTTTCTTCTATCGTTGATTTGGGGCTAAATGCCCAATGTATTGGCATGTGTACTTAACAGTGGGGATCTTCTATAGCTATACCATATTAAATCAATGGTCAAATTTCAAACGAAACCAATCAAAGCAACAATAAAAATAAAAATAAAAAAGGCCCTCAAGACGCAAGCCTTGGGCCTTACTGTGCCTTGGCCCAATCACATGCCTTGAGCGCGACTTATCGAAGTCGCCTGTCCTAGAACACTACAAGGCACAAACCTTGGGCCTAGGCGCACACTTAGGCACACCTTTAATAACACTGGTTTACCACTAGATTTTCAATGACACAACTAATCCTTGTACTACTAGCAGCCTCTTTGATTAAGGATATACTCTGGTTGGATTGCCCAATGGATATTGTTGAACTGGTGAACAACATAAAGTGTTTGTTATGATTGTCTTAGAGCCTGGAGCCAATCAATAACTCTCATTGGAGTGTTAAACTCCCAGCACAAGATTTGCATGGCTACCTCGTCTAGCAAAATATATTTTGGCAATAGTGTCTGAAGAAAAGTAATGTTTTAACACATAACTAAAGCCAAATAAAGAGACATCGTATGTTATGCCAGATCGAGCACCACAATGATCTACTGGACAGAAGCCATAAAAGCTTTTTGGATTATTTTCCTTGAAAGAAAAGGCACTTGAAAATTTATTTCCTCCTTTGTTAACTTATGCAAAGTAGAAACACCACATTAGACAGTGATTTGTCCAAAAACCCTAATTAAAACATGAAATCACGTAATTTGGCAAGGATATAAACTAAATCCTCAGAGATTACATATAAGATATAAACTGAATCCTCAGATGTTACATGGATGGACGAGAATCAAAAAAATGTTATCAAATCCCAGAAAAGTAGAATCTTGATGGCCATCAATATTACTTTGGGATCTTTTGCTAAAAGTTCCTCAAATGGATTACATCTTGTGAAAAGTCCAAGTCAAAAAAATTTAATGTCTAAGATCCTTCATCTAATGTTTTTATTGTGGAAAGGACAAATTGAAAATCTTTTGTACATTTTTGCCCACAACTCATTATTCACAGCCATTGTTGAGCTCTCTCTCCACCGTCTCCCCCGTCTCCACCCTCGTCGTCGCTCACCATGGAACTCTCCCTCCATCTCTACCACCGTTGTTGCCGTTCATTGCCTCTATGCTTCGTCACTGACGCCACCATGTTAGATCTACCACCGGCAACCACCATATTCATTGTTTGCCTTCACCATCTTAACCTTTTGCCATCACCATCTTAGATCGGAGACTGACAACCTTGGATCTAAGATCAGTCACCTCAAATCTATGCTCTGGTTTTTGAACAATAAAATTTTACTCTTGTTCGAACAAATTTGAGATTGGAAATCTTAGATCTGATAATTTAATAAATTTTTCTGGTAATAGTAACTGTAAATCTTTTGCTAACGATAATTGTTGTAGCAAGTGTGGTGTTTAGTGATGATGAAACATTTTAATATTTAAATGCTAAAATTTAGTACGCAAAATTTTACTACTAATATTAGTAAATTTTTACCCTGTTAAGGTTTGTTTGGACAGTAAAATTTTACTCTAATTTTTTTTTGAATTTCATATCCAACATCGATCTTATTTGATAGGTCTCAATGAAAAGATTCTAAAAATATCAATTTTATTAAAATTAGACATTTATATAAAGAATTATGAAATTTTAAAGTTTCAAAATAATTTTGAATCAAAATGTAAATTACACCTGTAGCTTGGAATCATAATACACATATAAGGGTATTTATGTCATCTAACTTCCATTCGTTTAACAAAAGGGTGGTTCTATTTACACACCACTAATACTTTCAATACAGACCGTGAGTAGATTAAATTTATATTCCAATAATATCCTCCAATGAAATAACTATTAAGGATAACATGAGGTGTATTCAACCCATTCAAAAATTTTATATTTAAAAACACAAAATACTTTTCACACACCATCATTTCTATAGGGTTTAGGGTTTTAACATATAAACACTGTATTTCTTCATCATCTTCACCATTAACATACACTTATGATATCATTCATTATCAATTAGTTCACTTCATTCTTTTCTCCATTATACTTATTTTTCAAACTCAAAACATTATTGCCTTTGAAGAATTAGGGTTCAAGAACATTGAAATCAATTAATTTTGAAGATTTGCACATCATAGATGACACTGAGATAGTTGGTTCTGATATAAACATTGAAAGCATTGATTTGAACATTGAAAATGTTAGTTTATGACTAAGATTTTCGATTTTTTATTTATCTTGTTCGTATGTTAGGAAAATGAGTTTATTCATCGTGTTCAGATAACCAGAGTTGAACTTTTACACAATATTCGATTATTCATATTTGAACAAAACAATTTTGTTCAAATTATTAAGATTAACCAAATATTAAATGTTCATACATAAAAAATTAAATATTTTAAGTTAGTTCAGTTAAAATAAATTAAACTTTTATTCATTGTTCAGATATAAATTTTTGAATGTTCAACTCTGTATTTATGAACATGACTAATTTGATGAATTTGAAACGACAACGAGAGATGGGAAACGAGAATTCAAGACCAACAATGAAGATCAATACCGGCGAAGGTGGAGTCCGAATGAAACACTCCGCCAATGATCTATGATGAGACGACGAGACGAGACACAACAAGAGTTCAACACCAACTACGGAGATCAACACCGGCAAAGATGGAGGCCAAATGAAACCTCCGCCGGCGATGGCGATCAAGACCAATGAAGATGGTCTCTGTTGGTATCTGTTCTGAAGATTGTGGGGTTTTTGTTGTGTGTAGTGGTGAAGATGAAGAGTTTTTAGTGTGTAATGGTGTGTATTCACATAGTTAGTATTGTGTTAATATAGGGTTAGTAATGGAAAGTTAAGGTGTAAACTAAGATATTTTTAAACCCTAAAAATTATTTTGTGTATGTACTAAGTAATGGTGTGTACTGAGAGTATTAATGCTGTGTAAATAGAATCACTCTTAACAAAAGGACGAGAGGCTCTAAATGCATCCCAAGAATTAGGTTGGACACCTCATTATTTTAAGCACTCCAATAACAAATTTGAAATTTTATTTATTTGTTTCGACACCCTAAATAATACCTATCCTAACTCTAAAACCCCTAAAACCTTATACAAATCTACTTTGTACACCCCATTACCCATAAATAGAGAAACAAAATCATAAAAGAATTTCAAGCAACGAAGAGGTTCATCTGAAAAAAAGAGGGATTCCAAGCGACAAAGGTCTCCTCCCACTCTACATCCACCAGCGACTACCGATTTCCAGATACTCAATGCTGAACACAAGAAATTCGGTTCTAATTGTTTCATATGAATACTCAGTGCCGAACAAAATATATTTGTCCAAATACTTAATTCCAAACATATGAAGTTTGTTCTGATACTCAGTGTCAAAAACAAGAAAATTGGTTCTACTTGTTTCATATAGATACTCAGTGCCGAGCAAGTATATTTGTCCAGATACTTAATTCCAAACATATGGGGTTTGTTCGGATACTCAGTTCCGAATGAATTCGGAAAACCAAACTACGAAAAACAATGAACAATTAAAAACTACTTTCTCTATAGAAAATTGTTTGGAAACATCTTCTTTATTGTCCATTGTTAATTTCAATATGAAATAGAATGCAAGAATGATGAATTAAAGCAAATAGGGTTGGGGTTAGGGTTAGGTATGAAAATGCAAAGTGATGAAAGATGGAAGAGAAGAAAGAAAAGGAATATTGAGACTGATGATTAATAGGGTGTCCAAAACACTTTTATTTACACTTTTTCTAATGTCAAGTCTTTTTTAGTCATTTTAAATAGGGACTTAATAGTAATAAAAAATAAAATTAAATGGAGGAGTCCAACCTAATTTTTGGAGTGCAAATAGAAGCTCCCCAAAAGGACCTCCTGCATGAAAAGTTTTTTCCCCTAATTGAAAAGCCAACCCACACTTCCCCTTAAAACCCAAGTATTAAGGAGAAAAAAACTTAAGCCTTATAACCAACTCAGATGGGGCAACTCCAGGCGATGTTGGACACATTCCAACATTGTCCTTTTCGCAATAACTTTTTGTGAAGAGGGGGCTATGGCCAAATGTGGCACCCGAAAGCATGCCACGTGTTATAACATATCATTATCTATATTCGAATACCTTAGGCCAAAATAATTATTCCATTGACTACCTCATTCCACAAAATACCCGATTTAATTAGCTTACAACGTTCTGGAGATCAAAAATACAAAGAAATGAGATGGTAGCCTTAAGAGATCGAAACAATTAATAAGAAACTTGAAAGTGTAAAACATGTCTTAATAAAAGAAACTTATGAATAGAATGTTGGAAA